TCTGGCAGCAGCAAGGGAGAGTTCATGGAGTTTAGAGCACTGGTGTCTTTATAAACACACACTGACTCCTATTGTTGTGGGATCATTTTGAGATGTTAAAATAAATATTCATGTCCACACAACTACACATAAATGCACCATTTTGCATGGGGGTCTTAATATGAAAGCAGGTGAATGGAACAGAAGACAAGTGAAGGGTCATAGAAGCACTGCAGATCAAGGAAAAGGTCACTAAGTTCATTTCCTGCCTCTCAGGGCTGTGTATTAACATGCAAATGTGGCAGAAACTTTACAAAAACAATACATAACTCAACTTGTTATAGTACACAAAAAGGATTCTGGCTTTGTCAGCCTGTTTAAGAAAATCAGTTTAAGAGTTATGGGATCTATTTCCCATAAAAGGATACATTTTGTGGACAACAACAGAGCAGCAGCACGCAGCCACACGTAGAGTCATTCAAGCAATGAAACATCTACAATATTAATCAGTTAAATGAAGACGGGGTGGAAACAGGGAAAAAATAGCCTCAATATGTCAAATGTCAGTTATTAAATCAATGGAAAGCTAGATATGTACTGTTGCAGAAGATAAAAAATCCATAGTTGCAGATGCAAACACTAGAAAAAGAACTGGTACATCTCTGTGGTCATGAATGATGCAGAACATTGTCATTAGCAGCTTGTCTGGTGACATGTGAATCTTGTTGATATGGTTAAAAAAAAAAAAAAAACTCCATTCACTCCTTACAGGTGAAAAAAAGTGCAAGACTTCCTGTATTTACAATCTCTGACACAGCGACAGGAGCTGCTACTGTAACAATCAATTGATATCTTGATATCTATAATTGTGCATTTGTGTGGTCACATCTTAAATAAATATTACAGTACTAAACTAGGACTGTTTGTACGTGCTTGTTAGCTTATGTCCTGAGGCCACCAAGCCGATCAGCTTCTGCTTGGCCTTTAAAAGAAGGCAGCCCCATCACAAAGAACCAACCAAATAATTAAATGTGAACTGTGTGCGCAGCTGTCTGTCAGCTACGTGGTTACACCACCATGACAGTGCCAGAGCTCGCTCAGACTCACATTTAAAAAACGACAGACTGTTAATGTCGCATTATAACTGCAAAAGTGTGTGTGCATGTCTGTGTTTATGTGGATAGAGAGGTGTGTGTGGCTATGTGTTTGTGTTGGCATGTGTATTCACAGACTGTTTGCATTGCACACACCTATCCACAGCATGATGATGTGCTCCCATGCATGGAGAATTAAGTCACACTGATTAAAATATTTTAAAAGGAATCTAATGCAAAAACAATGTAATTCAACTGAATTAAAAAGCCTGGTAAGGGTGTGTGCTTGTGTGCGCACTTGGATATACAATGTGCATGTGCTAGTGTGTAAGCCTCTCCTATTTGTGTGTGTATGTTTGTGCACATATATACAGTACAGCATAGGTCTGCAGCAGATGCCATAATCTCCATGCTTTCGGATGAGATTATGAAAGGCATAAAATGGTAAGAACAGTTTGTCACTTTAGTGTATTGCTACTTCTGTGAGTGTATACACACACTCACATACACACGCGTGCACACACAGTTTATATACGTACATTATTCTCTGGCCTGAGGACTGTATAGAGCAGCGCAGAGCGGTGCAGTAGCTCAAATGTAAATGTGGTTAATGGAGACTTCATCAGGTAGAAAGAGGGGCGCGATGTGACAGAGAGAGAGTGTAAGAATATAAAAGAGGACAGGACCAAAGAATTATAAGGCAGTGAGAGGGAAATACAGAATACAGGGAGAAGCAGGGGGAAAAAGCAGGAGGAGCTGTTCAATGTAATAATAAAAAAAGAGGAAATTTTAATAGCATTTTCTCTCTCGGATAATTGGGACAAGCACTTTCCTCCTCTATCGTTCTTTCTTTTAATGTAATTTTCATCCTCCTGCCCTCCCCCCCTCTTTCTTTCTTTCTCTCTTGACCTTCATCTCCTGGTCTCAACTTCAACATTTTCCCCACTGCTTTGGGTGTGGAGCCAAAACAAGTACAAAAATGTACTTTTCATTTTCCACTAAAAATGTTTTGACTTCTCTCATCGGAACCACTGGTGTGTAGTAGGTATGTGTATGAGTGTGTGTGTATGTGTGTGTGTGTGTGTGTTGGTTGTGTACCGTGGGCTGAGGATGCTGTTAATTCTACCAGACTGTAACTGGTCATGCTTGTCCCACTTGCTCAGGAGAGAAAGCTGTGTTTGGTGCATGTGTATGAGCATGAGTGTGTGTTTTAAAAGACTAGGCAGGTGTTATGACAATACTGCTGATTCACTTTCACTTATCTTTTTATACACAATCTGTCATCAGCACGCAAGCATCTCATATCAATTGAGAAAAAAAATGAAAAATTCAACCAATTAATCACCATGTCCATATAGATGTATGTGCTCGCATGTCATGTTTGCTGGCAGGCATGTGTCTGGCCGGATGTATATTCATTCATTACATTCTTATGTGCATCCATGTGTGAGTGGGTGACTTTAGCATCTGAGTGTGACCATGTGTGCAATGATTACAAATCTGCTTTCCCTAGACGGATTGCGCTTGTGAGCAGCGTGGCCGCACCACTGTGAATGTTGATGGACAGCCGGTGCATGCGAGTGAGACCATTTGGCGGTCTGTTCCCTTTCGCGAATTGATTTTGCATTTAGATTCAGCAGAATTCCAATGGTTCAAGAAGAGCCAAAATGCTGACATTGAGGAGGAGAAGATACTGATTTACACTGATTTATTATAAATGAATATAATACAACTTGTGACTTGACTTGACTGAGACTGCTGTATTTCACTTTATGTATTCTTTGCAAAATATTGCAAATGACAAGAAGAATGACAAATAAATCAATTAGCATTGTATTTACTCCACAATGACTCTTTTAGAGAGCATCCCTTCATGCTATGAATGATTTCCCAACAGTTACAGTCTACTTAGCATGAAATCAATGCCTTTATTTTTTGCAATCATCCACTCCAACAGTACCCTAATAGCTATTTTCAAAATAATGTTTGGGGCCCCTTTAGCCTCAAGCTCATCACTCGTGCAAGCTGTAAATCACTGTTCCAAATGACACGACTCCACCCGGAGAGAGAGTAATTCATGCTAAAACCAGATTTAAGCCCTTTTAATGCGCTAATGAAAAGTGCTGTATTTATATGTAGCGGGTAGACGGTAATGTTGTGACATCAGGCCCATCTGTGACTCAGTCTAAACCTCTAATGAGAACATTACTGAGCCCCGGGCAGAGATGCACAGAGAGAGAGAGAGAAAGGAACGGAGGAGAGTGTGAGGGGAAGAGATGATCGATGCAAACCTTGCCACCTCTTTTGACTGCCATCATCCCTTTCCCTCCTCCTCCTCTTCGCTGTCTCTCCTGCTCCCTCCTCCTCCCTCCTGCCTCACACACCAGGACTCGGGGCAGCGGGTCTAACTCAATACACCGTGCAGCGAAAATCAATGAAAGGCAAAAAGAGATGGCGCTGGAGGACTGAGGGGAAGAAATAAGGCCAAGTGGAGGGCAAGACATTTTTGGACAGCTTTGTCGTGCTCTGCAATCCTGTCCCCCTCCACCTTAACACACACAAGCAGGCAGAAAAACCACAATGAACCGCAGACACACCTGCATCTGTCTTTTTGCTGTCTTCCTTGTGATACTGCACCATAAATATTACAATAAAGGTACTAAATCACACCCAAGGACCTGTGGAGTATCATATTGTATATTTTTTGAGAGACAGTAGCATCAAAAGCAGAAGCTCAGGTGGGAAAAAAAACATCTGACTAAAAGCAATGGAAATGTCACGTATAGACGCTAAAAAAGACACATTACAGTCATATGTATAAATATTGTGCATATTCGTATCTAATATTCCAAGCTCACAACTGATTTTGCTATGAATCCATCGACTGACTCACACACTCCAGTGTTATAGTATTTCCAACATCCCACCCTTCCTGCCCAGACAGATAGATCTTAATATTCAACAAATTGTGAGTCTGGGCACTAGAACAACTCCCAAGGCTTTGGACAGACATGCATCCCTAAACAGTCATAACAGATACACACACACATGCACACACACAGCTCTATAACACTCATGAAAATCCAAGTACAACCAGCTTGTAGCACGTTCCCCTGCCTCTCCTGATCGGCAGATTGTTTTCTCTTGTTCTATGAATCATAAATGTACGTTCTCTTCTTCTTTTCTCTAAAACCCTGACTTTTGAGTTCGTAAGCAGCTCTGTGATCAGGGGATTCAAAACAAGCAGATGAAAAAAGATTGAGAAAAAAAAGAATTCCCCACGAGATATTGAAGTTGTATGTTCAGAAATATTTGAAAAAAATCTGATACATACATGATTATTAATCTCCCCTGCCCAGTCGGCTGTGTCTGCATCTTTCTGTGTCTATGTTCATATTGTCTTTTCACCCCAGCAGACACATTTCCCTCAATTTCCTCCCCTCTTCTATTCCCCTTTTCATTACCGTCTGCCTTAATAGCCCCATCTTCTCCCTCCTTTGCTGTACAACTACCAGGGATGTTAACAAGCCAGGGAAACAAAACTGAAAACAGTTATTTTCCATTAGAAATTAAGAGCTGGATGTCTAAAACATAAATCAAACAAAATCCTAACAACACCCATCCTTGCAGCACTGACTCAATCAAAGTCCTGTGTTCCCTCTCATCCATTCACTTTTCCTCTTACATCTGTCTCCTTCAGTGCCCATATTCCCTCAACACTCCCCCCCATAAATACCTCCAATTCATTTCTTTCCCTCCAAATTCCCCCCTACTTTAGTGTCCTCCAATTTACCAATTCACAGCTTCTCTCGTCCCCATTCATTCCTCTGTCGTTACTCTAATCTCCCCCCTTTCTGCCGCCGGTGCGTGTGTGTGTGTGTGTGTGTGTGTGTGTGTGTGTGAGTGAATGTGTGTGAAAACACTAACCTGCCCTTCTGGCATGCAGAGCAGAGCCAAGCTTTGTCCCTCTTGCTGTAGGTGCAGCAGGTCTTGCAGACGTTGTACTGGCAGTCCAGGCACAGGCGCTTGGGGTTGAGCAGGAAGGTGAAGGGCGCGCAGCAGCGGATACAGCAGTGCTCGTTGAAGCGGTGCTGCTTGGAGAGGATGGAGCATCTGCTGCCTTCCTCCGCCAGCTCCTGCTTCATCTCACTGAAACCGAGAGAGAGAGAGAGAGAGAGAGAGAGAGAGAGAGAAGACAGGAAGGGGAGGGGGAGAGAGAGTGAGAGGGTGGTGAGCGCCTGGTCGAGAGGTAGAACGTGAAAGCGGTGGAGGACGGCGATGCGGAATAATTGGAGACGCTGTGGTAAATGGAAAATTAAAAAAGGTGTGGGGGGGAATTAAAACAATAAGGGAGGAGGGCAGAAGGGGTCATGGGTTTGGTGAAAACACTTGTGCGCTCCCCTTTTCTCTCTCCCCCTCTCTCTCCCACTTTCTCTTACACTGATTCTGGGGAATTAACGTGATGGCTGACATTTCAATTTGGGAGGACCTGTCATGCCTTGTTTGCCCACATCAGTCAAAACACAGCTGAAGAGAGCACGTCCTCTACAGCCGCAAATGTAAGAAGCATTGTATCTCTGGTAACTAAGGCATGGGCGCTACGAGGACAAGGATGATGAAAATAAATTGGCATAAATAGCGCTAAGTTGAAGGTCCAACGCACACAAAACAAGCCTGAGAGAAAAGCAGCATCAATGAAAAGCCCCCACAGTCATACTGGAGGACTGCTTGGGCTCAGTCCAAAAATTACAGTTTCAAACTACAGCAATGAAGGAGCAGTTAAGAGCAGCACAGTCTCACTAATCTTAACGCCTCAGAGAATTGTTCATACTAATGAACTATTAGGATTATAGACTGAAATGCTTGACCAAAGCTTGTTTAAAAATCTAATAAAATCCAAAGCCACAGCTGACATTGACATTCCAACAGCTGCATACAACTAATTGTGCATCATTTTATATGAATTCAACCATTTAACCAAGTAATCGAGTAGGGTTTTGATATCAAATGACTGATGAGAAAAAGACAGACTGCATAATATAAGTTGTTAATCAGTGTTTTAACCAGCAAAGCAGCTTTGCCTGTACTCAACTGTTCACATAAATTATGCACATGGGTTTTTCCTCTGTAGGATTTGTGCTGACTGAGCAATGCACCACCGGCAGAGGCCACAATAAATTATGTAATATTTTGCATTTATATCATAAACCTTTTATCATCAGTACATATTGCACTTGTGTCAATTATATTTAAAATAATACACATAGAGGAGGGTAGCTTAAGTAACACATTTGTCCATGTTTACACTATCACCCATCAGTTGTCATTAGGCGTGAATGGGGGCTCAGAAGGAGAGATCGAGCTGTTGCTGCTGGGAAGGTGTGAAAGTGCGTTCAGCTCGAATGGGCGGCGAGTAAATTATTTAAGCTGCTCTTCTATACACTACGCACGGCCAGGTTATAGCGTACACTGCTCCCACAGAGCAGAGGTACAGATATCTGCAAAACATAGGCACAAAAAATATATATAATATAGTGAGAGAACAAGTCAACCCACATGTGTCTGTGAAAACTGCAAAGCACACATAAAATACACGGAAACACCCCTCTATGTACAAAATGTGTGTATAGGCATCCCAACATCATCTAAACCATCATTCCATACATGGAAAATTACGTGTATGGCAAAACTGAGTGCTGAATGCAGCATATTGTGAATTTCTCGTGTGTAATATGTGTACTGTATGTGTGTCTGTGGAGCCAGCGGGGGCTATTGCAATCTCTCGCTTCCCTAAGTTATTAACGTTGCTCCTCAAGCACATCCTCCGCTGCTCCACTGATTGCTTTTCATATGCATCATTAGATGCAGCATATTAACAAACCATTTCATATACAGTGTCATGTGAGAATGGGCGGGGTGGGTGGGGTGAGGCTTGAAGGGCAGAGGTTGGCATACGTATATGTGGATACTGACAAACCCACGGTTATATACAAGATCATCAAAAGGGGGTTTTATATCCTGCATACTCAAGGCTGCTGGGAAATGTTGACCCCCTCCCCCCCAAACAAATTAAGACAATTTAAACAAACCTCCAAGCAACATAAACTCTTCTTGTCTGAGCTTTAGCATCTGTTTCACAAAACATATACAGCCAAAACAGAGAAAGCTAAATATCTGATGCATACATTTATATTTTAATAACACGAAGAAGCCGTTGACTGGAAATCATTTCCTTCAGTTCTGATTAAGATCAGGTTCCATTCTGCCTCCTGTGTCTGTGATACGGGTTTAATGAACAGCCCGGTTATGGTGGCTAGCTCTGGCCGTTTAATTAAATGAGTGGGCGAATGTACATATATATCCAAGGACATGGGGGGGTTGGTCATGCCTGGCGTCCCTTCGCATTAACTCACATATCTGTTAATGAGACAGGAAAACCTGTGCTCATCTAGCAGCCATGACTGTAGAGACATGTGGGTCATTCAGGTGTCAGTGAGGTACAATTAGCTCATAAGAACTAACAGTAGTCACTCTTTGATATTAACAAAGTGCCCCTTTGAGTTACATACATTTACAATGTTAACAACCATATATGGTTAAACTACTAAATCTTACCAGTTAGAGATTCACTTAGAGGTATATTCGAATTATGACAGCAAATATGCTACTGAATGCTAAGCTAAGATACTAAATGGACCTTGCAATAAGGTCGTTTTCTCAGCTATGAAGTCTAAACAATCAGCTTTTAAGCCAAGATGGAGTCCTTTTTTAACGAAGAGTGCATTTCACATACAACATTTAAGTCAGTAAGTTAGTTCACACTGACAGAACTAGACTCTTGAAGCACTGGCACATTTGTGTATGTGGCAAGATGTTTGCATTTGAAAGAGCATTCTGTGTTAAAGTCAAAGAGCTATGTCCAAAATGACTTACTAAACTACTAACTACTTCTTTGAATGTCCGTGGTTAAAATATATGCACTATATACTGCCATCCAAATCCCACAATGGAAGAAAAAAAGTAGTGTCCATGGCATGTACACTAATTTCTAGATGATGCATGAATTAACTAATGCTGTGCACTCATTGTAGTGCATTGTTTTATGATAATTCATAAGTGTCTGAAATCTTAAATTACTGCTCACTAAAGAGTAAACTGCTGACTATCTAGAAGTAGTGAATGAGTGAACGAGGGAGGCATTATGGACACAGACAGTTTAATTCTAAAGAGAAAAGCAGTAACAACAGACTCTCTCTCTCTCTCTCTCTCTCTCTCTCTCTCTCTCTCTCTCTCTCTCTCTCTCTCACACACACTCACACACACACACACACACACACACACACACGCAGTGGCGTACTCAGACTGTTTGAGGGGCAGGAGTGAAAAAAGGGCACCAGCACACAGAAAACTGTAATACATTTATGGAAAAACAACTTTGTCTGCAGGAAAGGCACCCTAGAGGGCAGTTAATCATGTTTTGTCACCATAGGGGCATCCAAGAGGACACTTTTGCTGTGTTTTTCGAACACGGGGGCACCAAAGGCGGTAATTGCCGCCCCCTCCAACCCCCACTTAGTAAACTAGTGAACGCTTGGTGTTGGCTTATGTACCTTTCCTATCAAGTGATTCATATAGACTCATAGACATTCAGACTTTAAGCTTCAAGTCAAGGCAAAACCACACATTTTGATTTATTCAAGGTTGGTTATTCAATTAAATGTAACTTGTTCAATATACGCATTGAAATTCTGAGAATACATTTTGGAAACTTACTTTAAGGTTGCAATAATTATTTGCACCATCAATTAATCTGTTAATTATTTTATGGATTAATAAATCAATTGTTTTATAAATAAAATGTCAGAAAATAGTCCAAAAAGCCCATTATAGTTTCTCAGAGCCCAAGGTGACACATTAAAGTTGTATGTTTTGGCTGACCAGCAGTCTGAAATTCAAAGAAATTAAATACACAATGATAGAACAGAGCAAAGCAGCGAATCCTCACATTGTAAAAGCACTAAAATGAGAATGTTCTGCATTTTAGCTTGAAATATTGAAGATTAATTTCCTATCAATCAACTAATAGATTAATCAACTCGTCATTTCTGCTGTATTCAACTTTTACCTACAAGCTATTTTACCAGTTTGGCACCTAATCGATATCTGTGCTCCTGTGGGCAGAACTGCTACACTGATTTGAAACAAGAAAATTCAACATAATTTCAATCGAACTGTCAAGTATTGGGACATGTCTGCAGTTTGAACACAGAGGGAAAGTGAGGACGACGAAAAAATTGTGATTAACCACACATCAGAGCCAATTTTCTCTCCTCTCAATCTGCTAAATGCTTTACAAGTATACAGTGCAAGGTTAAGCAGCCATTTTGAAACATAATAAAAGCTTTGAACATCAAATGTGCACCTGCACAGTACAACATCCCCAGTATGCCGCCTCGTGGAGTTGAACATGTTTATTAGACAATTAATAACTCAGGTCTGGCAATAATGTCAACATGATCTATTGCTTTAGCTCTGGACAAATTAAGAACCACAACAAAGTTCTTCGGGTGCTGAAAGTTTACAAGAACCCAAACTCCTGAATTAAAAACTATTGATTATGCAAATAAGTGACTGCAGCCTATGTGTATCGAGGGTACAGTGGGTTTACGAGGGGAAAAGAGGGAACACAGCTGAATACCAATTCATTTTCTAATTTAAAATCAGGACAACAGATGTGGATTTAATGATATGCAGTGTACTTCTGACAGTCTGTCACTACTGGCAAATATTATTTGTGCTGAAGATCTATTAACTCATTTCTCTCTCATCTCTCATTTCCCATCAAAGTCTGCCCTGCTCTCCTTCTCACTCTCTCTTTCTGCTAGCGGCCTATTAATATAGTTATTTTTTAGACCCCCCCTCGTTTTTCCTGCTCCTTCCTTTCCATTTTACTCTTTCAGCCGAAAAACAGACAGAGTTGGGCTTAAGTATGAAGTTGAATTAATGTTATGGCCAGATTTATAATCAAGATAATGGCATTTCGAGGTCCAGAGGCAGCCTGGCGAGAAAACAAACGCATTTTTTTTAATGATGTATAGCCCTCTCACCAGCTGTTCTCCTGCTCAGTGTGGTGCTTAAGAGTTACACCA